CCAAAGGGTGGCATTTATCTCCACGCACCGTCGGAGCGTGGCACCGCACGAGTCCCACGTAAGCCCTTGGAGGAAGGTGCGTGCAAGGCTTGGTGCCCCTCGGATGGTGCAAACTACTGCGGGCTTGCACGGCTGCGAGGCAGAAGACTCAGAATTGGGGCTGTTGGGTCCTCCTTCTGAATGCACCAGCAGTGTGCAGGAAGTTTCTCTTTGTCCCCTTCTTGCAGGACCTGTCAGGCTTTGGGTTCTCCTTGTCCTTTCCTATCAGCTATTTAAGTTTGCTAACTTGAGGGTAACACTAAGAGAACCACGGACAGTGGCTCGAAGTCAGAGAGAGCTCCTGTCTCAAAGAGCCCATTAGCAAAGGTCAAGCAAGGCTGAGGGGAAACGTTACAACACGTAGGGTGTTAGCTCACAGGCGCCCCGGGAGAGGTGGGGAGACTGGGTACACTGGGTATGTGCAGATGCGCAGCAGGAGATAGTGCCTGCCCTAGCGATTCGGCAACCGGAGAGGCAGTGGTCCTCCTGAGCGGTGGGAGAGGCAGCCAGGTCTCCTGGGGCTGCACGTCTGCTCGGGCACCCAGCAGAGCAGGCTGGAGGTGGTGAGGTGGGATGCAGGAGCTGGGGCCGGGGATGGAGCTTGTGGGACCGTACCAGGCAGCACACAGGAACGGCAACTGGTCCAGCGGGGTCTGGGCGACCACGGAGCACTGTGTTTGCCTTGGCCATGGGCTGCCACCGGTCCTGATGGTTGCACCAGGTCTCCTCTGCTGCTCACTTCAGGAGGGGGCCTGGGCAAAGGACCCTGGGTGCAGTCCTGGGCGGGTGAGGCGGTTCCCCAGCCCCCCTCGCTGGGCAGTGCAGCGTTTATTGCATCCTGCTCCAGAGCCATTCACTCTGCCTTCTCCCTGATAAGGGGCTGGGAGGAATTCACCGCCCAGAAACGCCAGACACGTCCCTGGGCTGCTCTGGGTGCTGTGGGGATGCTGTGAGTCTGGAAGGAGGACAGGAGGCTGCTGAGGGCCGAGGTCCTCTGCGTGGCATGGAGACTCTTCAGGGAATTTCGTTTTGCTTGTGGAAAGTTAGGCGTAGGGGCCAGCGAAACCGGGTACTCTGTCCTTCCTGCACATGACATCACCATTCTTGGCATAATTCTGCCATAATAGATAGTTGTGACTATTACATTCTGCCTTTAACAATTTGAGAACCATAATGATTTAGACAAAAAACAACAAAAAAAGTATTTTTCCTTCCATGAAGGAAATTACAAACGATGGACCTGATCTCACTGCCACTTCTCCCACTATACATTTTTGTACAAAGATTTGTTCCACCTAGTCTGTCAAAGACATAAACATTAAACCTAATGATGTTACCTGATGTCTCAAAAAAGCTCCGGAGTATTTCTGTTTGTATTTTGTAGTCTGTTATTTGTTTTTGTCTTCAATGTTCCCCTGGATTCTCCAGCTTAGACGAGTCTCACTTACATGAATTCATGGACAAGACCGTGGCTCTCGTTAGCCTGTGTGTGTGAGCACCTCGTTCCCGTTCCCCAGCCCCCCCGGGGTCGTCCCCCACCCCATTCCCACAGAGAGGCAGACATCCCTTCGTGGCTGAAGCAGTTGGTGTTTATTTGGCAATTAGAGACCAGCAGAACCAGAGGATGTTTCCCGGGGAGCCGGGAGCATCTCAGGGCACAAATGCTTGCGGGAGGCTCAGTGGTACTCGTGGGCCAGCGCGTGGGCCACCACACGGACCATCTTCTGCCAGGCGGACTGGCAGGCAGGGGTGAAGTCCTTGGCAAAGTGGGCAGCCAGGACGATGATGAGGATGTCACCCAGAAGCTGAAGACGGAGAGAGGAGAAGCTGTCAGCCCGGCGCTGCCCCCCACCTCCTTCCCCACCATCGCACCACCCAGGTGTTCTTGTGTGGATGCCGGTTATTGGGGAATTCATCGCAAAGCAAGGAACGGCTTTATCACAGCCCCATGCAGAGCAGCAGGCTCCTTGCACAGCAAGATGCAAATTTCTCGCACTTGCCAGGACGCCTGGATGTGCTGGATCCTCCTTCCCAAACACCTTCCTTTGCCTGCTGTGCCAGCATCCTCCCTCTGCTTCGACTGGGTTTATCCTTTCCCTTCACTTCCCTGCCCACCCTGCTTTCCCTTGGCTCAGATCCCCTCCTTCTGCCGAAGTGGCTGTATTTATTTTCTCTCCTGGTTGAACCACCCCATCGTAGCCAAGCTCAGCTCTTCCCTCCAAACCATGTCTCAGTTTCTTCCCTTCTCGTTGCTGCCAGTTCCAACCCGACTTCACTTCCTACCGGCACATATTCAACTCCGTGTTTCATCCTCCCCCCCCTAGCCTGCCCGTGTCCCTCCTCTCACTGATCCCAGCCCCATACCTCCTGCCTATTCTCCCCAAATATGCCTATTCACACCCCCTTCCCCCCCTCTGCCCCTGCCCTCAGCAGACTCCCAGGCTCGGGCAGCCTCAGGGTTTCTCTCCTGGCTCTCACTGACTGTCAGACACCTCAGAGACCCCCCAGAGCCCTCTCCAGGGAACAGAAACCTCTGCCCAGCTGAGCCTGGAGCCCCAGCACAGCTCACCCTGAAGTTCTCGGGGTCCACGTGCAGCTTGTCGCAGTGGAGTTTGCTCAGCTGCGCAAAACATTTCTTGATGTTGTCCAGGTTCTTGACGGCTTCCCCGAAGGAGGTGAGCACTTTCTTGCCATGAGCACGGACCATGGGGTTGCCGAGGATGGCGGTGGGGCTGGGGGGGCTCCCCCAGGAAGCGCAG